GATGGCAGAATTGACAGAGAATCAACTTCCCAGGACAATCTGTAGTACGATGTTGCGCAAGACTGGGAAGTCCTTCGAAATCTCCAGCACAGTCGGTGCATTGGTATGCCTGGTGGAAGATAGTGTCGTGCTTTTCTTTGCTTGGGGCATCATTGCCATGGCCGGAGTCGTGTGGGCAGTGCCAGTGGCTTTGCCACTCTGAAGACCGCTTTTGGAAGATATTCTGGCACTGCGGACATAATATATTATTGCGGAGACAGAAGTTTTCATGGAGAACTAGTGTCCGTTCAGGAACCCATTGCTGGCAATTTCTGCACTGCACATCACCAGGCTCGTGGGACTCTTCTGCCTCATTACGACTAACCGAGGAATCCATTGGATTCAGTGTGATCCGCAGGTGATATTGCGATGGTGACCGCTGCGGCAGATCAGATGATTCACTGCTTGCAGCATCGACGTGGACCGCTATATAGAGAGCCTCGGCGTCTTCCAGGACCACATTCGTGGGCCGAAGAACGAATTTCTTGGGCGACTGGCTCGAGAAATCTCCCAAGGCATGCATGTCTGATCTCGGGCGACTTCTTTGGCGAGTAGAAAAAGGACTAGCAAAAAGACTCACTTCTGGATTGTCCGTGGTAAGCTCAATCTGAATAGTATCCTGGCGATTCCAATCTCGAAGCTCATAATCCACGTATTCCCCAGGCAAGACTTGGGCAATGACATCTTCTCCAACGCTGAGGATACCACCGATCGAACTGCCACTATTCGTACCCGGCGCGCGTGAAGCCTTTTCCAACCTCTTCTGTAGCGTTTCTCGGGCCTGTTCCTCTGACAATGCGACGATGTCAACTTCAAGATCTGTATCCACCACGCATATTCCTTCGCCTTCGGGAAACACCTTATCCACCAGGAATCTGAATGACTCGCTCCGGGTCCCCGGTACTGTCAGAAGCTCACCCGTCGTGAGGGTCGTAAAATTGTCCCGTAGGTACCTTTCTAGAAGAGCTTTCCAGTCTTCAGGATCGTATCCAGCTTCTAGGGGACGTAGACGAACATAGGTGCCCTTAGGTAGTTGCTTTGCATGTACTGTGACCGTGGGGCCAATCCGTGAGGGTTCCCTTTCTACCTGGGGCACCGCCAGGTCTCGTGGTTCGCCATTTTCGCCCAAAAACTCTTCATCCTTGATATCGAGAGAGTCTCTGAGCAATGTACTCAGTGCGACTTCATTCTCTTCAGCGGAGAACTCCCGAATGCCCGCATAGATGAACCGGCCATTCAGAGGATTGACAATGCGAAAGATTAACGGGTGGGGTAGTTGTTGCTGACGCTGCTCAACCTCTTGGCGAGCGCGCGATTCGGCGGCGAAGGTATGGTGGTTGAAAGGATCGAATGACGCAGTGAGTACACGAGAGTTCCCGGAAACAGCTTGAAGCGGAGCGGCGGCTAGCAGCTGTTCGAGCGCAGATTGTGGTAGAGTGATTTTGTCACCGGTTAATCGAGATGCCCGGTCTGGCGATGCGACGAGCAGCTGGGATGACCAGACTAAAGTATCTTGAGCCATGATGGATATTGATAATGATCAGAGAGAGAATGCATTCTTTAATATAAGGTGGGGACGGACTACAATAGCGGCGAAGGCGACAAAAGTCAATTTCTCATACTTTAGGACCACCGCTTCTCTCTCCGCCTATTGTATACCATAGTGGAGGTGATGGATCTTCCATCTCTCTCTCTCTCTCTCTCTCTCTCTCTCTCTCTTTAGCTATATATCTTATAAATAATAAGTATATTAGCTTTGTACTCCTTATTTTTGCACATCAGAACGTGTGTACACCTACGATCTTTATATATGAATTATAACCTGTGAATATCTACAATTCTGCCTGACAAAACCTAACTTTTGTCAGAATTGCCGCTATTGCGGTCTGCAGAACCGATAAGAGATAAGAGTTTCAATTCTGGAAGCCTCCACGCTACTTCGCTTTAAAATCATAATGTACATGCGAACTGTCGATTACTAATATAATAAAAACTGGGCCTTGATCAAATTTAATACAAGTCGCCACGCATTCTGCCGCGAGCACTAGTATTGCACCAATCACACTGCAGGACAGGTTAGTATAGTGGACCGTAATTTCAACGGGACCGTTGGTTGACACGTACCAGTATCTTCGAGCATCCTTCATTGTGGTGAATACAGTAATCACCCTGGCAGCCTTGGCATGTGTGCTGGCATTCCAGCTTACAGGAAGCACACTACTATGGTTAGAAGGAATATCTTAAAGTCAAAGGAGTTACTCACAGTTGGGCCACATTCCCAGCAGTCTTTGCTTACACCTCGTTCCAATCTCTACATGACAAGGATCAGTGATATGGAAGATAGGTAAGGTAAATTCGACTTCAACATACCTCACGTTCTTGCAGTTCAGCGGCACTGGCGTGGACCGCAGTCTGATGCGGGGACAGGCTTATTCGGACGCGCTGCGGGTTTGGTAGACAGTTTCCACAGAACCATTTATTGCACCGATGGCACCAACGGTTGGTGAGGCAGTCCGCACAGCGGGCAATTAGAACCGGATGCTCGCCTGGAATTAGCCCGGGCCGTTTCGCCGCTGCAACGCTAGATGAGTGCAATGGCAGGGGGTTAAGCATCGGAAATTGGATATCTGGGGACTGGCTCCATATAGCCGGACCTTCGGGAGAACTGTGACATCCATCACATCCACGGGGTCCGAGGGCCACGGTGGCCACGGCAGGTCCGAGCAATGGAATCTCAGCTGGGGTGTCCTCCGTGGTCGAACTGTATAGGTTGGGATCGTGTCTCGGGCCACGACACAGAGCGGCATCAAAAGCAATGATGCCCTCACACTTCTTAAGCACCTGGGCCCAACCTTCCTCGAGAGTGTGCTTGAAAAGCTTCCCTGATGCGATATACCACTCGTTTTGCTGCTCTACCAAGGCAGTTGAGGCGCCATCCTCCTGGTCAGAGTTAGGGGTTTGACTGGGTGTCCGCAGAGTTCCCACACGGGTTCCCCACCAGTCTCGGTATCGGGGTCGTGCCACTGGCCGAGAGTCCGTGCATATAGGAGAGAAATGGTAGATACCCTTCACTCGCGGCGTACCCGCAGGGCGTGTAGGCCGAACGGCATGCTGAATGACCTGCATGAGCTTACGTTCGTTCAGATGGCGACATTCGCGAATAGACAGGATGTTGATGTTAAAGCGGTCAGTCGAAATGATATCGGCCACCAGATCAGCCGGCACCGACACCCCGTCCAAGATGAGAGTACGCACATCTTGCAGTATACCTCTGCCTTCGAGGTTCTTGAAAATATGCTTCAATGGGGCGGAGTAGATCTCATCCTCCGTCTGGGAGTCGTCATTCGCTTTTGTTACTGTAGACATTTCTGCGCCCTGGCAGTGGGACAGATCAAGATGCCGGAATACATATGGCGTCTGGGTGATCACGGTGTGTAGGCGGCGTGAGGTTGAACTCAATGTCATCAACGAGGATACTGATAGGTATGGTGCCATCTGGTCGAGGATCAAGCTGTTGCTTAGGACATCCTCTAGTCCCGTTTGGTGAGGGGGTGTTATAGATTGCACCTTTGATACCCGGGAGAGTTCGCGCACGGCAGGCTCCAGGCCAAGTTCCTTTAGTGTCAAGCGGCGAGACCCATAAAATTCGGGGGCGCGGCCGATAAGGTCCCGTCTGTAGGCAGTCATGGCGCCTACGGCGATTTCATCACCCCGAAATCCAAAGGGTGAGGCATTGGGTTGGATATCCCGGAGGGCAGCACGGGCTTTGACCAGTTCACTTTCTAGAAGATTAATGGTTGATTGTAAGACGGCAGGCATGGCTTCCGTTCTAGGATCAATGGCAAAAGCTATAGAAGACCATAAGTCGGACATGGTATAGTAATAGAGAAAGTTTGGGGGGGGGGGGGGGGGGTTAGGATAAATACTTTAGAAGCTAAGTATAGAGTGAATGGAAGATTCCATTTTTGGATATACATATCTTTTAATATATTTATATTATAATTCAATCAAGTAAAAGGGATAACCCCGTTTTAAGCCACAAATGGATTGTCGGTGTAAGTGTGCATATACATGTGTACTCCGTACATAGTACGTACTCCGTACTTGATTTCCTTTGGCACTTCTTGGCTTTCCCTTTCCGTTTTAGTGCTCATGCCTTGCCGCTTTTTGCTCACTGAGTATAACTGAGCACGCCCCTGGGTATTGCATAATCACTGGGCTCGCTCACTGAGCAGCCTGATCTTACTGAAGATTGATGGATCGACCAGCGAAAATAAAACCGCAAATTCTACAAGGAAAATGAAATCAGGAGGATATATTACATAGTTTCCAGATCTGCCCCGATTCACGCTGAGTAGTTCAAAGAGCCCAAAAACGCTAGTTTCACTTCTTATGGTGAAGAGAGCCATATATTCTGCGTTAACACTGGATTTTGTAGCACTAGACTGCTGCTAATATTCCTAGGGGATTTGATCACCTCCGAACAAGACGATATCGGGTTAAATTGAGCCAATTCATGAAGGTGCCTCTGTAGACATAGGTGTGGTCTCTAATCTTCTTGGTCTAGGTGCAACTGTTATTTTGGATCGGCCTAGGCTCCTGTAGGTTGGAAAGTATTGCTGCAGTGGGGCCTGGCTGGCTAGATTGACAACATATAAAAATGTAGGATCAGCAGTCTTTATATTACAGACCCGGATAATATTAACAGTCTCATTTAATATCGAGTTACCCGCTAATTATCTTATTATATTGCCTATATTTGCTAGGCTGATGCTGTTAGACTACACATAACATGTTTAGCAATTGTTATAATATAAGGCTCGTGCAGATGGACCTAAGCCGTATCATATCATCGAAATTAATTTTGCTCTATCTATAGTTAGGAAGGAACAAGCTCATTATAAGTCAGCTAGACTTCATCTCGTATCCCCTTAGGATGAACCACCCACCTCCTTGAATTACTACAATAAAGCTTGAGTGTGATTCTGGAACCGCTTCCAGCGCGCGATCATATTAGATCCATACACCATAGTGGCAAGGCAATGGAGGACGTGATTTTCGAACTCACTTTTTTGCAGGGGTGTGAGTTGCTTTTGCAGAATGGCGGAGAGTTGATTGCCGAGGGTGACAATCTCAGGAAAAATGGTGTCCGGGTCGAAGTCTTGTGTGCCAATCTTGTAACCGTAGGCGTCGTCCATGCAAATTGTAAACTGAGATTGCATTCTATTTAAACTGCGAGGAGAGACAGTTCCTTTCCCAAAGCGAAAAGTTGATTGCATGTAGTGGCGGATGGACTTGGCAAGGTCGATTTTAGTAGATGGCACTAGCTTGTGAAGGAGAGGCGGGTTTGATCTCAAGCCCTTCAAAGACATTGGAGATACTTCCGCGTTTGCTCTTCGTCTGTTTGGCTTTTAGTAAATCAAAGTGAGGTGGGAGTAAGCAAAGTCTCGATGTGAAAGAAGTGGAGACTCAATTGAGAAAAGGGAAGAAAGTAAGAGTTTGCGGATCGAGTGCTTGAGGAAAGTGGAGAGTTAAAGTTGAAAGAAGAAGAAAAACGTGAAACTTAAACAGAGAAATGAGAAGAGCTTGCGGATCAAGTACTTCGATTAAAGTGGAGAGACAAGGTTGAAGGAAAAAAGAAGTGAGAAGCGAGAAGTGAGGCTGGAAGTATATGTTACAATCAACATGTGCAGGCAGATGGTTCCCCGGATCGATGTTCCAGAATAGGCTTAGTACCTTCTAAGGAATCCCAAACAGGTCTAGTACCTAGGTAAATAACCAATAGCCGAACCCTTTGTTGGAGCATTATATGGGAATTTTGCGGGTTTCAGCTGGGGGGATCGTAAAAAGTTCCGGCAGACTTGTCAAGATCGCTTACATAATTTATTATTTTCGAGTCTCCCTCTGCTCCGAGTCCCCGAGCTGACAGCTCGGAACCCGTCACAGTCACTGAGCCATCAGCAAGCGCTTATTGGACCTCACGGCTCTATCACGTGATATATTTGAGCAGCTCACTGAGTCTGAGCCCGGACTGAAATTTACTCAGTGAGCCTGACTCTGAGCGCTCTCATAAAAGCGGCAGCTAAGATAGGAAAGCCCCTCCCGGCAGAGGAAATATGTTACGTACAGTGACCTATGTAATATACTAATATTATGTACATACGCACACCTGTCTCTTCTACAAAGTAGAAATTTATACTGTGTATTCCGTAGTATGATATTCAACTCTACAACATTGTCTAACCTGAGAGTCATACCTGGGAATACTTGAAATACTTGAAGGTGATTCCCCAAAGTATGGGGTGATTATAAGTGGATCTGGCTACTCCGTACTCCATAGGGGTTCAGGTACACTCCATACCTTGGCAAAGATGATCTACCTTATGGTCACGCGCAAGTCCGCGTCAGTCTAAGTAAGGAGAGAAATGCATCCGATGGTCGAATAGAAAGTCTATATTACCCGACTTCTTTTTCTGCCAAGATAAATAGTTTTGAATTCCACACCAAGGCTCATTGAGACATCTCTGATCTACACGGTCCGCAGCATCATGCCAAGCCTTTATTCGATATTCATGATAAGCTGAGGCTGCCAAGCCCCCTTTTTCTTCGTTGAGAAAAAAAAAGGTAATCACGTTAAGTAGATCTATGGCTGATCTACTTCATGTACGGAGTATGAGGCCAAGCAGGCAGCCCCCCAAACAAGTTGCCAAGGAATAGTTACACCTCTCTACACATCACTCGAAAGAGATCGGGTCCAGACGTCACACAACTATGCATTCACTTGGGAGAATTATCAGGGTAGGATTAGAACTAGTGATACAATGTCGTCGATCGTTCCCCAAGCCCCCCGGGACCTGACCCCCCACTTTCGAGAGGCCTCTACTTCCACAGCTTCGACACGGCCACCTCCTTGTCATCGTGCTTGTTGAGAATCTTGGCGGTAGCCAGATCAAAGTCTTCTTGTGTGACATGAACCCGACGTTCGCGGAGTGCATACATGCCTGCTTCTGTGCAGACACCCTTAAGTTCGGCTCCAGAACACCCGTTCATCTTCTCGGCAATCTTGGTCAAGTTGATCCCACGGGTCAGGTTCATCGATCGAGAGTGGATCCGCAAGATGTCGGCACGAGCTTCGACCCTAAAAGAAAGAAGAAAACAATGAAAGTCAGCATAACCCAAGAAGCACTAGATAACTGGTTGGGGGTAGACTGACGATGGAGGGGGAAACTCGATCTTTCGATCAATTCGCCCAGGCCGAAGTAGGGCCGGGTCCAGAATATCCAGTCGGTTTGTCGCCATGATAATCTTAATGTTCTTCGTTGGCTCAAAGCCGTCCAACTGGTTCAACAACTCCAGCATGGTACGTTGCACCTCCGAGTCACCACCACCTGATGAATCTATCCGGCTTGATCCAATGCTATCAATCTCATCCATGAAGATGATACTTGGTGCGTGCTCTCGCGCCATGACGAAAAGTTCACGCACCATCCGACTACCCTCACCGATGTATTTCTGCACCAGCTCTGAACCACTCACTCGGATGAATCGACAGTCGGTATGGTGGGCAGCTGCTCGAGCAAGCAGGGTCTTACCGGTTCCGGGTGGGCCGTAAAGCAAGACACCCTTTGGCTGTGCGATACCTAGAGATTCGAATAGCTCGGGGTGCTTGAGGCCAAGCTCGATCACTTCCTTGATTTCCTTGATTTGCTGGTCTAGGCCGCCAATCATGTCGTAAGTGCTGTCGGGGACCTTTTCGACCATCATGAGTGCAACTAGAGGATCGACCGAGGACGGCAACATCTTCTCCAACTTGTAGGAGTCAGACAGAAGAGCGACTCGCTTTCCCACAACGAGTTTGCTGATGTCCACACCATCAGAGATATCCACCACTGCGACCCAGGAAACCATAGCATTAGCATAAGCCCGGTCATCAAAATTGGAATAGACGAAGCCTACCGTATTTTCCTTCTGGGTGTACCTTCACCAGAACCTTCTTGGTACTCATCACCTTCACCACCTCACCCACATAGGAGCCGGGTTGTTGCAACAAACCAAGCTCTTCACGCAGTAGACGGACTCTCGAGTTGTAGTCATTGCGCTGCGCTTCTAATCGTCGTAGAACGGCCTGGCCTTGAATAATCTCGAGCTTCATGCCCTCGATTTTATTGCGATAGTAGTTGTCCAGAGCCATGATGGCGAATGGGGGTGATGACGCTATGGAAACTCAAGGGTTGTGTCTTTCACAGAACACAGATGAAGTCAATAAAAAAAAGACCTTTATCTTTCTGCTTAGCAGATGTTATATCGGGGAATTTGTCAGGGAAGGAGATGTAGCTCAGAAGCAGAAACGGAGGATTTGAAGCTGGTGTTTGACGAGTAGAGCAGTCCAGCTGTACGTGAAGCTCCGGTGCTGTCCCAATGCTGACTAAGAGAGAGATAATTATGGCCTGATATATCGGGATACTAAATTAAAGCAAACAAGCCAAACAGCTGATTTCCATGGATGACAGCTCCCCACTCAATGAGTCAGGTGGTGGATCTGATTGGGCAGTCAATCTGGGCTGATCGGGTCATCTGCAATGCGATGAACATAAGGCAACGGTCAAAGAGCCATTTCTCCCCTTTGACTTACTCTTTTCCACGAGTTTCGTCCTACCTGGACCTGAAATGATCCGTATGCATCTCAACTAATGGAACTTTCATTGACATTTTCTATTTATGCGTTTCACCTAGATCTATTTGGTTCAATAATGTCACTTGGACCTTCGGTCTTAACGCTTTGACTTTTTTCCCTCTCTTTCTTTGGGGACAACAAAGACAGCATAAAAGAGAGAGGAGACCCTGTGTCTTTGGGATTCTCTCTCTTCCTCGGTTCTTCTGTTTCCAAGGTTTACTGTGTACTTGTCAAATCACTGGGTCATGGCTGGTGATAAAGGAAACCTTGACTCTCCCAAGTCCATGGAGCCATCTGCAGCGGCGGGGAGAGAAAACCCGACCTCTGGACCAGTGCCTCCAGTTACATCATCTACCTCCACGCGGAGAACATACGGTAAGCTTGGCTTTGGTGTAACCTACAACAATGACGGCTTGTGCTGATCCAAAATTGCAGGTACACTCGATACATCTTCCCTCGAAGCGACTAATCTTGAACTACGTGATGACGGTCAAGAGGAGAGTTCGACTCGCGCATTTACGACCCAATCGTCCCCTGCCCCTGATAGGCCCCGAAAGCCCTCGGTATCGCGTCGCATGTCTTCCAAACGTCACATCCCCCACAAGGGGCAAGGGTTCTCGACAGATGATGATGCCAATGAGGTCAAGCAAGATATGACAAAGAAGCAAGGCGCAAGCACGCAACAATCTCCCAGGATTCGTCCACTACGAACGCAAAGCTCGACCCTGAGACGACGTCCTAGCGTTCGTCCCAGTCCCTTGGCGAGAGCCGATTCGGAGAGCCACAACGCAGACGAAGCTGGCTTGCCTGAACCAGGTCTGGATTTTGAAGAAGATTTCCCTTCTTTGAAACAGGCCGGATATAGCAGCGGAGGGGAGAGTGAGGACGACGACGACGAGGAGGACGACGAGGAGGACGACATAGAAGGCGATGACGACGCCGCCAGTGATGCTGAGAGCTTCACGCTCAAAGACCGTCAGCAGGCTATCAACGAAACACATCCATTTGGTATCAGGATCTGGAAGCCTGCATTGTACAAGAAGAGTCGTTCTGTAGAGAAGACGGCCGAGGGCGATATTCACTCATCTCCGGGAGGCTATGTCAGTCCTCTCCTTTTTTTGACCAACCTACTATGGTCTTTGTTCTTTGGATGGTGGCTTGCCCTGTTCGCGCTCTTGGCCGCAGTTGCATGCTTTTTCTTTTCCTACTCATCGAGTGCTGTGGCATATGGAAGGGTATTTTCAGGTCTTTCGCGATATCTGTTGTACCCATTCGGATCATACGTTCTTTTGGAGACTGATGAGAACTATGCCGAAGAAGATGAAGGCGAGGGACGCAGTATCAGCGAATATGAGCAATGGCAGAATGGTGACCTGGAGCACGGTCGTCTTTTCTTCGGGCCTCGCAGAGATCGGTCCCTGGTCGGTAGACGAAGGAACAGCGTCGATTCAGCCGGTGAGCAAGACAGCCTGCTCGGGCGGCCCCAGCGTGGACAACGCGAAGACTCTTCTCAGCTCGCCCAATCTAAGCGTCGCCTTTTTGGGCGGGGCGAATGGACCCTAGGCCGTGTCGTGTTCTTCGTGTTCTTCTACTTCTTAGTCGGCCCGCTGATGCTGATGGTATCGCTCGTCTGCTGGCTTTTGGTCTTTTGGATTCCCATGGGCCGTATAACTATCACACTGGTGAGCCATTTACGCA